GCCCTCGTCATGCCGGCCGGGAGCCAAGGAGGGGCCCTCCGCCCACTTCGGGGGATGGCACTCACTGAGGTGCAGACCCGCGGGCCGGCCACCATCCTGCGCCTTGGGCTGTGGCAGGACGAGGGGCAGGGGCCCACTGTGCTCTCAGCCCTTGGAGCAGAAGCCACCGCTGGAAGGAGACGCGTCTGCATCTCCAGAGTCTTGTCCTTCTTGCCACCGTGTAGCTTTTGCCTTTGACGGCGCTTTCTTGTCCCCACTAGGAGGGCCGTGCCGTGTAACGTCAGCACAGCTGGCAGCACAGCTGGCAGTGTCGTGAGTCCACCCGCCCTGTCCTCCAGGCAGGTTCTGAAGTCCTGGGTTCCACACAGACCCCTTTTCAGGGCCGGGAACTTAACAGCATGTCCTTCTCTCTCCTCAGTGTCCCCAACTCCTGCCCGGCCAGTCCCCGTGGTGCCGGGTCCTCCGGTTACCGCTTCGTCCAGAATGTGACCTCCGACCTGCAGTTGGCAGCAGAGTTTGCAGCAAAGGCCGCCTCGGAACAGCAGGCAGACACGTCCGGAGGGGACAGCCCCAAGGTCTGAGCCCTCCCCGGTGCCTTTGATGCACAGAGTCAAGATCCGGCAGGAGGGGCCCAACATAGGCAGCCAGGGAGCCAGGAGCACGACTGTACTCAAGTGTACGTCACGGCCCGTTAGCAGCTCAGTCACAGTTGGCAGATGGAGCACTGGCCTTTCGTCCTTTCTGTGCCCCCGGGGCACGGCTGGGCATCTGCTGGTGACTCGCTGGCACTGTCGGTGAGGGCCTCTCCTGCTCTGCTGCTGACAGCACAGCTTCAGGGCTCTGATGACAGCTCCTTATAACTTTGTGTTCTAGTCCCTTTCCAGCTGCTCACTGTTGTCAAATCAATTTGCTGAGGAGGTGTAAAAAATTCAGAAATAAATTTTGATGAAAACCTGATTTTTCATTCCCAGAAGGCAAAAGCAGCTATTCCTAGGGTAATACAAGCACATGGGTGGAGTAGTTGGAGGTCACTGGGGTTGATTTAATGGAGACAAGTGTGTCCTTGTTGGAGGGGTCTTCTCTGTTAGCAGGCGACCAGTGGGAAGATGACCCAGAAATGTCCCTGGAGTGACACCCTGAGCTCTGTTTCTGTTTTCCACAGGACGAGTCGAAGCCGCTCTACTCGTATGCGCAGCTGATTGTGCAGGCCATTTCCTCGGCGCAGGACAGACAGCTGACACTCAGTGGGATCTATGCCCACATCACGAAACATTACCCCTACTACCGGACGGCTGACAAAGGCTGGCAGGTGAGGGCCTGGGTCCCGAAGACTGGACTGCAGTCAGATGCTCTTAGCACAGGAGACCCTAACTGGCACATCGCTTCATCTAAGTAAGCAGAAGGAGATAAAGAGAGACGAGGTACCCCATGGTTGGCACATGACACAGCTCAAGTGCATTGGAGCTGTCGACTGTGGCGTCTGAACTCGTCTTTTTCCTCAGCCTCCCTCCTCCTGATGCCTAGTCTGGTGAAGACTGGTGTAGAACTGGCTACTTTTTATGTTCGCTGTGCACTGCAGTCCTGTACTCACTTGGAAACACACCGTGCATTTCATTTAAGTGTGGCGATCTGCATGTGTGAATTGTGGGTGGGACTATAAGACCTTTTCTATACCAGCCGTGATGGGCATGTCGCACTCGTCTGTGTTTTCTCCAGAGTCCCTGTTTTCCATTCACGCTAGTTTACGCAGCAGAAGCTTGGAGCTCTGTAAGACTAAGTCTTTTGTTTGTCCTGAACAGACTTGTAGACTGCAGCTTGTCTTTTTGTTTTGCTCTTTCCACGAAGAGCGGTGGCGAGGCTGTGCTGAATCTTGCTAGGACAGAACTGCCACTGTGCTCTCGCTTCTCTGCGAAGCACAGCCAGGACACCACCCAGGCCCTGCTGAGTGGTGGCCTGTCCCTCTCACCGGGGGTCCTGCATCGATTCTGTTCCGATTGGGCAGCAGGGACTTGTCTTCTGACTTGTTGATCACCACCAAATCTCTCTGCTTCCCCGCAGAATTCCATCCGGCACAACCTCTCTTTGAACCGTTACTTTATCAAAGTCCCACGTTCCCAGGAAGAGCCTGGGAAGGGGTCTTTCTGGCGAATAGACCCTGCCTCAGAAGCCAAACTCGTGGAGCAGGCGTTCCGAAAACGGAGGCAGAGAGGCGTCTCCTGCTTCCGCACCCCCTTTGGGCCGCTGTCCTCCAGGTAAGCCCCCTCTGCACTGCTATCCTCAAGCTGTTAGGAGAGTCAGCCTTCTGCAGGATACAGACCTTCGAAGGCAGCACAGTTGACCCTCCATGTCCAGGGGTTCCACATCCATGGGTGCAGCCAATCATGGATCAGAAATACTCAGGGGAAAAAGATAATACAAGTGAAAAAAATACAGCATAACAACTGTTCACATAGCATTTGCATCGTATTAGGTTTTATTCTTTAATTTGTAGAGACAAGCTCTTGCTATGTTGCCCAGGCTGGTCTCAAACACCTGAGCTCAAGCAGTCTTCCCATAGTGCTAGGATTACAGGTGTGAGCTGCCATGCCCAGCCTGTATTAGGTATTATAAGTAATCTAGAGATGATTTACAGTATATAGGAGGGTGTGTGTAGGTTATATGAAAATACTACACCATTTTGCATCAGAGACTCAAGCATCCATGGGTTTTGGTATCGTCTAAGGTCCAGGAACCAATGTCCCACAGATAGTATGGGGGAGCTATATTATTTTTGACATTTAAAAACTCCACCTTTTTTTTTTTTTGAGAGAATATCTCAGAACCGGCGAACTTCTGGAGTAGTTAGTAAGTGAATAAGTGAACCACTGACTGTCTCTCTCACACTTTAGTTCTCAGAAGTGGAGATGTGTGTAGTGATGGGAATGGCGTCTAAAGCCAGGAGTCCCTGGATACGGCTTGCGGTACTTTTTATGGAACAAGCTTTCTATCGGAGTGTGTGAGAGGACCCGGTGAGGAGCCATCTGCTCTCGTCCCTCATGGAGAGCTGAGTCTTTGAAGGGACGGGCGAGGAGTACAACGGGGGAGCCCAGAATCACCTTGGCTCTCAGCAGAGCTGATGCCCAGGAAGGTGGCTCTGTCTGCTGCCAGCAGCATCGACTGTCTCCCCGGCCACCAGCAACACAGGCCACTGCCACCCACCTGGTTGTGAGGGCCTCTACCTGCCCAGCTCAGTCCTGGCCAGACCCAGTCAGAGGAACGCGCGCTGCCATTGACAGCCACATGAGCCCTTCCCAGGGTCGCCCATCGGATGAGTCTGTCCATCCCTGGTTGAGGGAGGAGCTCTCCAGAGAGGTGTTCTCAGAAATCCTTCATGTGGAAGGAAACATTGGCATTTAGCGTTTCCCACTGCAGAACTCTGTTTCGAACGTGATTCTGTAAGAGATCGTGTGAATGTCTAAAATTGATTTCTGGTACAGGATCTGGCATCACAATTCAGATGAATGAGTCATATCAGTGAGGTGAGCATTCAAAAAGTGTTTTAACATCACTTGGGGGCCAGGCACAGTGGCTCAAGCCTATAATCCCAGCATTTTGGGATGCCGAGGTGAGAGGATTGCCTGAGTCCAGGGGTTCGAGACCAGCCTGGGCAACTTGGTGAGACCTCGTCTCTACAATAAATTAGCTGGGTGTGGTAGCGCGCGCATGTAGTTCCAGCTACTTGGAAGGCTGAGATGGAAGGATCATCTGAGTCCAGGAGGGTGAGGCTGCGGTGGCCATGAGTGTGCCACTGCACTCCAGCCTGGACGATGGAGTGACACTCCAACTTGCAAAAAACAAAACAAAACAAGACATCATTTGGAATGTTTCCCTGAGCTCAGATTTTTCAAAACACCACAGTGCTTAATAGGAATGAAGACAGAATCTTATTAAACTGTTTGCTAGGGCTGTTGTAGAAGTACCACAGACTGAGTGGCTTAAACTACAGGTATTTATTCTCTTGCAGTTCTAAAAGCTAGAAATCCAAAATCAAGGTGTCCCTTGTGGTTGTGGAAGCAGATGTTATGCCGAGTAGAGTTTGCATGGGAGGATCAGTAAAGGAAAACCCCCAGGCCAGGAGGTGACACAGCAGGAGCTTAGGTGTGAGCTGTGTCTTAGGAAGTGGAAGATGCCCAGCTTGACTGGCAGAGAAGATGGGTTTGGAGGGAGGCGGTGATGTGTGTTGTCTTTGGCGGGAGACAGATCCCAGGAGGGGGCGTCATTTGACTAGCAGAGAATGAGAGTACGGGTGTGTGGACTCTTTTTGGTGGGAAGGCCATTACACGCCGGGCACAGTGGCATGCTCCTCTAGTCCCAGCTACGCGGAGGACTGAGGGGGGAGGATCACTTGGGTCCCAGAGGGTACAGTGTGCTGCAATCGCACCACTGCCTCCAGAGTGAGACCCATCTCTATTTTTCTTAAAGCAGCTTTTTAAAAAAAAATACATTTGAAAGAAAATAATTAGGCCCAGCACTTTGGGAGGCCAAGACAGGAGGATCCCTTGAGCCCAGGAGTTCAAGGCTGTGGTGGACCATGCCACCGCGCTCCAGCCTGAGAAACAGAGTGAGACCCTGTCTCTAATAATACATTTAAAAATGATATGTTAGAGAACTGGGGAGTGGCCTGGCCACACTGGTTTGGGAATTAGATACGTGAGTGTTGAAATAAGCAGACGAGGCCTCTGGGTCAACGGATGCAAGAGCCGAGTGGCCTGGAAGGGACAGCAGGCTGGACTGCAGGGTGGGGCGGGGGAGAGGAGTGCCTGGGCCTCTGCTTGGGAGTCCTGGACGCCCAGTACCACCACAGGGGCCAGGGGGCACTGCACATGGCCGAGGTGTGTGTGGCGCAGATTGTGTGATGCAAAGACTGGTTTCTCCCCCAGCCACACCTGGCGGGCCCAGCTTCCTGCCCTTCGGGGTCAGTGCTGAACGCTCCTGATTCGCGTGTCCAGCGGTGTGGGCGGACTGTTGTCCCTGTCATAAGTGTTAGTGTAATGGTCCCCAATAAGAAAGCTGATTCTGTTTCCAGGACTGGGTCTTGGCTGTGCCACAGCCGTCCCTGCCGGGCCCTCGCTGGCAGCAACCTGTGGGAGCCCTTCACTTTAGAACCAGGTTAATGATGAGAGGAGTGCCATCCTGGAATTGTGAGGGATGTAAGACACACAGTCGTGTTGCCCTCGGCGGCAGAGCCCTCCTGTGGAAGGGCCGTGCCCCTCAGACAGAAGGCTGGACCTTTCAGGAAACAAACGCTCTGGATTGCAAGGGTTCCTGGGCAGCCACAGATAATGCCACTCCTCCCTTCCCTTGAGTGGAGCCTCAAATACTGGGCTCATGTCCCCACCCAGAATGTTTATTGGAAATACCCCGGAGGACAGTGACCAGGGTCCTGCAGGGGGATGTGGATGGCACCATGAGGGGTGACGTTTGTTAATATCCTTTCCATTCCTGAGCATGTTTACTTACTATGTGGTCTTTTCTCATTCCTTTTCAGGAGTGCCCCAGCGTCACCCACACACCCTGGGCTGATGTCCCCCCGCTCCAGTGGCTTGCAGACCCCAGAGTGCCTGTCTCGGGAGGGCTCCCCCATTCCACACGACCCTGACTTTGGGTCAAAATTAGCTTCTGTTCCCGAGTATCGGTATTCCCAAAGTGCACCCGGTAAGGAGTGGTTTTGTCCTCTTACTCAATAATAGAACCCAGTGGAGCATGGGTGAGTTGAGTGTGAGGATCACCGTACTCTCTCTGTTCCCCTGTCCAGGTTCCCCTGTCAGCGCCCAGCCAGTGATCATGGCTGTGCCTCCCCGACCATCCAGTCTAGTGGCCAAGCCCGTGGCCTACATGCCGGCCTCCATCGTGACCTCCCAGCAGCCCGCGGGCCACGCCATCCACGTCGTGCAGCAGGCCCCCACCGTCACGATGGTCCGGGTGGTCACCACCTCTGCCAGCTCGGCCAATGGATACATCCTCGCCAGTCAGGGCTCGGCGGGGGGCTCCCACGACGCAGCAGGCGCAGCCGTGCTGGACCTGGGCAGCGAGGCCAGAGGTAATGCAGCCGCGGCCGGCCGCCTCGGTAGGACGCCCCGCGTGGCCCCTGCTCTCCAGAAGGTGGCGCCGTCAGCCTGGGCTGGGATCACGGAGGCTGGCTCGCTCTGGCGCCTCTTCCTCTCGGCCTGCCCCTTGGGAGCGCGTCCTCCCGAGGCCACTTGAGTTCACTCAGACGCTGTCCTCCGCGTGGCCTGTTGCCCTCAAATGCACAGAGCCGTGCCCTTGAGCTTTTTCCTTTCTTCAAGCGCTGTGAAATTAAGTTGGGTCCTGTATCAAATTGGAGTGCGACCCTTTCTGCAGGAGAGAGCAAGCCCGGGAGGGTGACCCTCAAGCGCCCCTCCCGCGGCGTCTCGGTCGTTCACAGTAGAAAGTGGTCGTGGACTCTTGGCGTAAACCTGGATGGCTGGGCACTCGTAGGTCGATGCTGAACATGCGAGCCATCCCCTGGAAGGCGCCCTCGGGAGCACTTCCCCATTCGGCAGCATCTCCTGCTTGTTACTTACCGCTGTGGACTTGGTCTCGCGGTCATGTGTGATGCTGCCACGCGAAAGCTACGTCTTGGTGAAGGAGGCCCAAGCCGCAACCCTGAAGCAGGTCGCTTCGTTCCAAATGAGACGTTCTCATCTGAGATTGAATCTGGGCTGGTTAGAGTGAAGGCGTTTCAGACGCTCTTCTGAAACCCTGCTCTGCCCAGATCCTTCGTGCGTGCCCATGCCGCCCTCACGGCCTCTCCGTGGCGACTGAGTCATGAGGCCCCATGCCGGTCGGCAGCTGGGCCCAGCGTGGGGCTGACATGCTTCTGTCCGCAGGCCTGGAGGAGAAGCCCACCCTCGCCTTTGCCACCATCCCCGCTGCCAGTGGAGTCATCCAGACTGTGGCCGGCCAGATGGCGCCAGGCGTCCCTGGACACACGGTCACCATCCTGCAGCCCGCTGCTCCAGTGGCCGTCGGCCAGCACCACCTTCCGGTCCGAGCTGTCACTCAGAACGGGAAGCACGCCGTCCCCACGAACAACCTAGCCGGCAGCACGTACGGTGAGGCCTCGCCCCATTCTCCAGGCTGCGCGAGCTCTGGCTGTCCCAGGTCGGGGGAGGCTAGTTCTCTCCGGTGTTGCCTTCCGTCCAGGCAGCTCAGTCGATGACTGAGCACCTGACGATGCTAAGCGAAGAGGAGGAAAGGAAAACCAACTCTCGCCACCATCTAGAGTTGACACCCCGCAGTGTGGGCGGGTCAAGACGGGCAGAGGAGCCAGGGAACGGGGTGCAGGGGACTGGTGTCAGTGGGCGGCTCAGGGCGAGCGCATCTCTGAAGAGAGTGAGGGCCCGGCCACTGCTGTCTAGTGGAACCCAGAGAGAAGCAGCAGCCGGGGCTGGGTGGTGGGCTGGCGGTGGCTGGGACCAGAGCACACCTCCGGTGGAGCTAAAGACAGCGGGCCAGGAGGTGAGGCCGTGGGTCTGCACAACAGAGCAAGGGAACAGTGGCCGAGCAGCGTGAGGTGCTGTCAGCCGGGCCAGCCAGCGTGCAGGGATCCCTGGGCCTGTGGGCTGGCCCTCGTGTGGGTGGTCCGGGCCTGTGTTCAGAAGCACAGTGTGGCCCTAGCCAGGCCGCCAAGTAAACGTTTTCTCCCTTCCCTAGCCCTCACCAGTCCCCTGCAGCTCCTGGCAGCCCAGGCGAGCTCGTCGACGCCCGTGGTGGTCACCCGGGTGTGTGAGGTGGGGCACGAGGAGCCCCCGGCAGCTGCCGCGGCCGCAACCACCCCAGCCACCGCCACCGCCGCCTCTGCCACTGCCTCCGCCTCCGCCTCTGCCACCGGGGAGCCCGAGGTCAAGAGGTCCCGCGTGGAGGAGCCCAGTGGGACCGGGGCCACACCGGCCGGGGTGATTGCAGCTGCCGGCCCCCAGGGCTCAGGTACCGGGGAGTGAAGCCACCTGCCTGTGGGTGGCATGGGATTCACCGAGCGGCGACTCGGAGTGGGCCTGGCGGTACAGGCGGCTGTGCCCGCGGACGGAGGAGAGCAGCCCGTCGTGGCCCACGCGCCTAGCGAGCCGGCACACCGGCAGCGCCTGAACACACCCAGCCCTTCATTTTATCTCCTGCCCTCCCGTGATTTTAGACAAAAACACATAAACGAGTTCAGACAACTGATTGTATGATTCTGGGAATTCTTTGCTTTTCCCCCTCCTCCTTCAGTTCCGTCTCCTCCCTGCTGGGGCGCTGGCAGAGCTCTGCCTCTCTGAAGGAGGATGCCCCGCACTGCAGCAGCTCTTAGAGAACAGCCTTCGCTGGGGCCTGGACAAGACGCAGCGTGGACAGCCAAGGCCTCCTCACACAGGAGGGTGGGTGCCAGCTGGCAACAGGCTGGCACAGGCGAGAAAGGCGGGGCCTGCTGAGCCCTGGCTGCCTCGCAGCACTGATCCGAACAAGACAGGAAGTATTGAAGTATTGGCATTAATTGGTGGGGTCAGTTTGGTTTTGGACCCCAAATAGTTCTTGTTTAAACATGGAATTCAGGCTTCATAAATCTGAGACAAACACAAAAGAGATCATATATTTTTGAGGATCCATCTGAAGACGTTTGGCAACTGTGTGTCTGGGGTTCGCACTGCGTTAGCCCCCGAGAAGCATGAGCCTGCTGCTCTGTCTGTTAACTTCAAGTAAGAGCGACAGTTTCCTGGAGGATGTTCAAGGTGGAAAAGTCTTTGGTTGGAAGTTCAGCTCCAGCACTGGCCTAGCCTGGACCCACCTGGCACGACAGACATCATGTGGCCCAGAAAAGTAGGGGCTCCTGGTGCCCGGGGCGGGAGGAGCCGCCTGCTCTGCAAGGAGGGCCTTCCGTGTTCCCCTGTGGCTCTGGTGTCCCGGTGCTGACGGACACGCTTGGACACAGCCTGGCCGAGCGGACCTGCTCATGCTGCTTGCCGCCAAGTTACAGTCCCCACACCACCCCAAATCTCTGCTATTTCTTCTGCCTGGAGCCCAGGGGCTGGGGTCCGTTCACAGAAGGGAAACGACCTCCCAACAGCCGCCAGCAGGCCTTTGCCTCTCCCGTGCTCCGCCCCTCCTCACTCGGCTGCACCAGAGGACAGGATGCTCCAGCCGGTTGAGTGGCTCTGTGTCCCACAGGCATTCCCTCCTGCACTTCAGTCGAGATCTCCAGTGACTCTTGAGCAGTGTTGAGCCAGCCTGGCCCTGTGCTCAGCCCGACGTGGGCCTGAGATTGGGCTCCTCCACTTCTCTTGGAAGTGTTGAGCACGTCTGTGTCAAAACCAACTTTACAGCTTGCTAGTCTCACTGGCATTGGCTCTTCCAGGAGGGGACCAGTGGCGCGAGTAATGGTGACAGATTCGACAGAGATCCCCAGAATCTGTTCTCAGCCCTGCAGCCTCTCACCAGCAAAGCCGCGTCCTGGCTCCAGCCCTGGTGGAAAAGCCACAGAGAGATCTGGTGTCCTGAGAGATCTAGGGTCCTGGAAGCATCTGAGAGTGTGGCAGACATGCCCCAAGAACCAAGAGCCGGCTGGTTGCACTCCTGGATGCATGGGGCCTTGAGAGGAAGGGCAACGTATTTCCCAGTGACCGGGCACGGCACGGGAGGCCTGTGTGCTGTACAGGGTGTGACCCGTTGCCACATCAAAGTCGCAGCCCAGAATGAGGGCAGAGCGGCTGGCAGCCCCTGGCTCCCTCCTTACAGAATCCCAGTTCTGTTGTCTTGTAGGCCCCCCCAAACCAACCGTCTCCGTGGCACTAAAGTTGACACGGGAAATAAGCTCTTCTGGAAGTCTGTATGAGGAGCCCTGGGTGCGGCTTCTAAGAAGCGGGACTGGTGAAGGCAGCTGGACGGGTATCCTCGGATGCCAAGCCCTTTCGAGGACGAGAGATGGTGCTCCACCCCACGCTCACGGCTGCTGATGTCTTGTGACCTTTTCTTTCTCGTGTGCCTGGTGTGTGTGTGCGTGTGGGTAAGAGTGAGAATCGGGGGTGTTGGTCGGCACTCCCCTGCCCGCTGCCTGCATGCCTGAGCGGGAGCCCTCCGGGGCAGGTCAGTCCTGGGGCCTTTCAGGCTCATCTCTGCTTCTTCCTCTTCCTTCCGTCCAGGAGGGGCTCTTTTGTTTCGGGACCCTTGTGTCACAGGTTGCCTCATGCGAGCTGAAGTCTGTGGGGCACCTTGTGTTGGCATCCCATGGGGCTGGTGGTCCCAAGACATGTGGTCACATTTTCGCCTGTTCTGACACGTCTGGCTCCAACCTGTGTGCTTTTCTGGTTGCTGAGAGACTGCGGTTTCTGTCTGTTGTCAGTGACACTGTCACAGTGTATACTGGCCCAGCCGAAAGGGGTGGGAAGGGAGGGGGTGGACGAAGTAGGGAGGTGAAGAAGACAGAGCTCAGTGGGGTACAGTCTGCGTCTTTGCTCCTGCCGAGACTGAGAAGGACAGAGGGAAGCAGCCTGGGGTCAGCTCAGACTCTACAGGGGGCAGGGAGATGAGGGCCAGGCTGAGAGCTGCCTTCTGTGTTTATCTGCAGTAAGTGTTGTAAGGGTCATTGGTCTTTTCCTCAGGCAGCATGCCCAGCTCGTGCCAGATCCTGACCTGGAACTGATAACCAGAGGTCCAGGAGTGGCCAGTGCCTGCAGGAGAGGAACATCCCAGCTGGAAAGCTCTCCCTGTGTCCTCTGAGCTGACCCAGTGAGGGTCCCTGGTTGGGCTCATCCATGGAAGCAGGCACACAGGCCAGGGAGACCAGGAGCACCTCGGCCCCCAGTCTGGGCAGCCTGTGACCCCCCCCACGGGGTCGAGGGTCCTTCTCTAGATTGTTGAGGGTGGGCTGATCCTAGTCACACCGGGGTGTGAAAATAACCTTGTTGCCACATTGTTTTGGTGTCATATGGCGAGGCGGAGGTCTGAGGACCTGCCCTTTGGTCACCCGGGACTTGAGGATTCAGCACAGCGTGGGGGTTGGGGGTCGCGGGAGATGGGCCAGATCAAGCTGGTAACTTTGGGAAGGGCTCTCCCTACTTTGCTCGGGTGCTGGGTGACCCTTATGGCCCCGGGCCTGGCACCCACTTCATTTCTGCTTCTTTGCTGACACACCACCAGGTTTACCAAATACAGGAAGCATGTTCTTTGGATAGGAGGTGAGTCACAGAAAGAACTTGAAACCATTAAGCGCATCCCACCGAGACAGTCGGGGTTCACTTGGGAGCGAAGGGCTTGCACCTGAGGGCCAGAAGCACTGGGGAGGCCAGGCTGTCACGGGCGCGGTGCTTGGCGTTCTAGGCGGAGGGTGTGTGTCCATCTCGAGCTGTTGGCATCTTTCTTTCCATGCTCAAGTTCTGGTAACACCTGGCCTCTGTTGAGGGTGGCGCAGCTGTCATTCAGTGCCTTTGAGGGACTCAAGTTCACCTTCCCTCTGCCCCTTCCTTCCACGTCCTTAAAAGTGACACGACTTGTACGCCTCATCCCAACTGGACCCCCACTTGAGGTCGGGGTGACACGGCCTTGCAGTCACACACTTGTGGCACCCTAGCCATCTCCTGCTGGTCTCGCTGTCGAGGTCACCACGTGCTCTGGGTGAGGAGCGTCTGGTCCCCGTGCAAGACCCATGAGGTTATTGCTGGGACGACCCTGGGAGGGCCAAGACCAGGCGGGCGAAGGCAGGAGCGCCATGCCCACAGCCCCTCAGTTTCCTCCCAAGGCCTAGTTTGTCCTGTTGGGGCTTGTCTGTTTGTAAAAGAACCAAGCCACGTGGAAGAGATGAACATGAATTTCTGAGGTGCCGAGCTGAGTGTTCCGCGGTCCTAGGTGCTGTGCTCTCTCGAGCCGAGGATGATTTGGTGGAGCTCTGCCAGGGCTGGGGCGGGGGCCTTCTCCTGCGCCTCCGGACTGCTTGGGGCCCGGGAGGAGCCCTGTGCAAGGCTGGATCTCGACCGCTGCTCTGCGTCCCTTTTCGTGCCGCTGGTCCTGGTGAAAGACCGATGTGAGGTCACAGACGCCGCCCAACCAACACGCTTATTTCCTGTGAACTAAGAGGGTTCTCCGCAGCCTCCGAGTGAGGTGTGGGTCTCCAGAGAGCATTCCTCTGACTGTGGGTGGAGTCAGTGTCTTCCTCTGTAGAGAGACAGCAGAGGAAAACTTACTGGAAAGCATGAAAACGTCGCGAACGTGAGAAAACAGTCCAGAAGGAGGCTGTTCTCTTGAGGCTTTTGGAGCCAGTTCGGGGACCTGGTTTTCCCAGAGCTTAGTTCCCCTTTGCCCTCGAGCAACTTTGCCTGGGCTGAGTCGTCCGCTTTGCCCTCTGGAGTGGAGCCCTCAAGTCCGTCTTCACCCCTTCCCCGCTCTAGGAGAGCAGAGCCCCCTGCCCCCCAGAAGGGGCCTCAGAGTAGCCAGCCCGCCCCCTCTTGTTTCGGTGCAGAACACATGCTGCTTGCTCTAGAACTTCCACGACCGACTGACTCCGCAGCAGGAGGAGCCCAGGAGGCTGGACGGAAGCGACGTCCGTGACTTGGGCTGCTCGGCCGCAGCCGGTCAGTGGGAGGGCGACTGGTCGTGCTTCTGATCAAATGTGCTTGCCCGTGGCCTTGTCCCCAGCGACCTCTGCAGTACCTCTGCCTGGAAGCAGTGTTAGCTGATAAGAATACTTTTAACTGTTCAGATATGCTGCTATGAAGACAGGATTCACTTTCGACAGGATTTAGCTCGGGAGGCTCCCTGGTGCGAGCTTTGGCTCTTGGAGGTAAGGGCAGAAATTGGAATACCACAGGTGGCCTCCTGCCCAATTTTGTTATTTTTGAATTGTTTCCTGCATTCTACAGTTTCCTTTCATTTGCCAAGTTTCCTTCTCCAGGCCTTCTTTTCACATTAGGGTTTTTCAGATGCTCAGGACATGGTTTTTGTCACCTCCATACTTGCTGTTTTTCTTGGGTTTGGTGCAAGACTTCTGC